AACATGCAGCCAAACGTCAACAAAAAGCCCAATGAAGTTCAGCCATGACCGAAAGGTGCACTGGTTTCGGGAAGGAAACATAAGGAAACCCGATTCCAGACTCTTTTCGCACAGTCTCCGAAACCGCCCTAAAAGCTTCCGCGCGTGCTTATAGAAGCTAGTATTGCTTGACTACACTTGGCTCAAAATCGTTGTTCTTGAAGTTTCGGCCTGCAGTTAAAGTTACTTGTAAATAGCGGCTGCCACTCATTTGCGTTACCGCTGTGTAAAAGCTGCCCAAGGCACCCCCCTCCTCAAATGTCGAATTTGTAGCTGCCACAAATTTACTTTACTCTTCCATGGAGGCTCCCCAAGGCAACGCTCCCCAAAACGCAGACAGGGCTCTCGGGCTCCCGATAATTCTATATTTCTGAAACTCGCTTTACATCGCCCCTCAAGTGACTTCGAAAGTCACACGGAACTATACAGGGTCAAAGGCTCGGATCTTCATGGCGCTCGCTCGCAACCAGAAAAGGGCCCAACCGCCATTGATGAAAATCAAGGATTCCTTCGAAGCAAAGGACAAAAAACATATGAGCCTGGCTGCTTGACCAACCGACAGCTTCTGGGCATCGCTTCTGAAACCCACTGTGTGGGTCCCGTTCTGAAACATCTCTGAGCGGCACATCGATCTCGGCCATTTCTCAGCACCTGAGCCAGCGGATGGCCAGGCCAACGGGTTTTTTTGTAGGCATCTGCTAAAATAAGTGGATGCCCCCCAAAACAGGTGGGCTGTCCTTTTGGTTTCTTTTCAAGGCAACCTTAAACGGGTACCGAGACTCGAACAAGACAAGCTTAAGGGCCTTTGTATTTTTAGGCATTTGGCTTAAATCCGAATAGCTTTTGAATATACGCCACGCCATCCCTTTAAGGGAACACTATGGACACCAACCATTTCCTAAAAATGGACCCCTTGTTTGGCAAAAACACCCAAATGAAAGGGGACCTCCTCCACAGGGAGATTGATTCTTTAGACCTCTCAGCAAAAGTCGCAACGCGATACACCCTGAGAGTGCAATGCCTTAAGGACACATGTCGGGTCAAGTACAGTCATTCTTGCAGTTTCCATGTTCGAGGCTCAGAAAGCCTCACCTTTCTGCCAGCAAATGCTCCTCGTTGACCGACCATTTGCCGCCTGGGGCCTTGGCCCTTGACCACGCTGTACCCTAGGGCCCCCTTGGGGTTTTGCCCTTCGTACGTTGCAAGTACCTAGTAGACCTTTGTCTGTGCCCGGCTGTGCTGCTCCTTATCTGGCGTCAGGCAAGGTCGTCATGGGGCAACCTTTGACGAAGCTGAGGTCTGGACCCAAAGACGTCTCTGTCATGGTGCCCGGCTAGCCGCACGGCTAGCTTGAGACTTCCGGGGATTTTGATCCAAGCACAGGCCACACGTCCTGCATAGCAAAGGGTGTGATTGAAAGAAACCCACCTGATTTCCATTCCGGCAGTGCAACTGAATGCGGCAAACATGATGTACTTGCATCCAGCACACATGCCACGCACACAAACAGAGAATGCCAAGCCCTGAAACTACCAAACATACATGCCAATCTGCAGGCTTGCAAGGCTTAGAGATAGCACCGGAGCCCTTTATCACAAAGCACGCCGCATCGATCAATCGAGGGGCAGTCGTTAACGGAGCCTTCTCCCGCATCGAAGCCGAAGGGCAGAGCGCACGAGGCGCATGCGCGCGAGGCGGCTTCGTGCGCGCGCTGTCGGAACATTCCAGCTTCGTGCGCTTCTGACCAAAGAGATTGTCCGCTTTGTGCTGAAATCCCTTTTTTTAGGAGGTGACATATACACTTAGCCGAAGGCAGGCAGGTACATTAGCCGAAGGCACCATTGGTGTCCTTCCTTGAAACCGTTGGCGTCGCCCATCTTACCGTAGCTATACAGGAGCCACCGAATCCGAGATCGAAGCACGCCTCACGGCATGCCATGTATGAATCCAGCCAAGCACCCGTGTTGACAGTCATGCCTTGCCTGTAAATGAGCAGCGGCCAAGGCCCATTGACTTGTGGTTCTACTAACGAAGGTTTATATGGGCTTTACTGCTTCTGATGAGTCGCCTTCTAACATTGCCAAGGGGTTTTTGGCGCTGCTCTTCAATGAACAATGTTCAGCTAGGAGCCCAGCGGTACGCCTTCTGCAGAGCTGGGGTCAATCCGTCGCAGAAATAGATACCTGAGCGCAAATCATGAGAAGCAGGTATTCTCAAATCCTGTGGGTGTCACAATTCAGAGCCCTTTCAATCGGCAGCTAGTGTTTGTGGGCGTGGGGCAGGGTCTGGAGTTGTACGGCTGACAAGCAGCAACCATGCAAAACAGCCAAACGCGGCGGCCCAACTGTTCAGCGTTTCAATGACATGGGGCTTCTTTACACAGTCAAATACGGTTGCGCGGGCTCAACTGACAACCGGAAAAATGGCCTTCCCAAAGCATCTCTCAATTCCGTGCAAACTCTAAGCTACTGAGAGATGCAATGTCAAATAAGCTCCATGCTCTCAATCTCTCAGGATTGAGCCTCCCTCCCAAATCTCGAGCAAACGATCCGACGTGCCCGAAGCAGCCCTTAGCGAAACTACAGGAGCCTTGGATTGAGGTGCGAAAGGGACTTCCACCCCATTGGAAAACCCTACAATGCTCTTGCCTTTTTGATGCAGTACCTGACCATGGCGTAAACCAGAACTTGAGTGGAGAAGACCCTGCATGTTTTCCGAGGGATAAACTAATCGCACAGAACCACCGACAAAAAGAAACTCTAGGCCCCGAGCGCGTCCACTCCAGTGCCGGGCACATTCATGAGCTGCAGGGATCCACCCAAATACCTGGCGTGCATCTTTCCTTTGGAAGAAAGTCATTTGAACGATTCGCCCCCAATCCCCCCCCCCCAGCTGTTACCAACGTCATTAGTACCGAGGGTTCTTCTATCGAGGAAGCCACAAGAAACCGCACATGGCACTGAGGTGTCATGAAGACTACACGCGGAGCACATAGATCAGACTAGAGGCGGAGCTGAGGCGCCTGCATTTCTTCACGGAGTGTTTATTTTGTAATCCTGATTTTGTTTGTGTGGGATGCCGGAATTCTGTACTTTGCTTTTCCACCTTGCCCACTACCTGCGCCTTGTAAAAAAGGATACCTTTCCCTTCCAAGAAGACTACGACGCCCGAGCTGCATATCTGCCCTGCGTTGCATCCGCAAGCAAGACGTGAAATATCGGCCGCACATCCATGCCGCGGCCATTCGAAGAAAACAAGTTCCATCCACAGAACTGGGTGCAGCAGGCACAACTAGGGAGACTCCCAACCGGGAATCGCTCTCTCGAGTGTGTCCGCAATGCGCTTCGTTGCCCAGACTCTTACTTTGACCTTGATGTTGGCGCTTCAAGCGCAGTCCCAAATTCGTCAGACGATTTCACCCGGGTTGAACATCTAGAGGCCCCTTTTTGTTATCCGCTGCAAAAGGCGGCTCGCGCCGAAGTAATTCCGGGCATGGACGACCCCCAGAAATGGCGCCCCACACCCAACGGGCGGGCGGCAAACGCGCGCCGCGCCTGGCATAAAGCCGGCCCAGGGGCAGGCCGACGCCCCAGCCAGCCAATGGGCTGCCGCTTTCCAGGTACTCCTTCGCCGCTCTTGCGCTTAATGCGTTTCGTTGAGGCTCGGGACACCTCTTCTTATCTTGGTTTATAGGGACACCAAAGGAAAGCCATCGTTTTAGGGGGTGGGCTTCCCCTACTTTGGCGACCCTGGTTTCTTTGTAAGATGTAAAGGGAGACCCTGAGGCCCCTTTCACTTTTGAACGAGCAATTGGGGGGCTACGGATTCCGAGAGTTGGGCTTGTGGTTGTGTGTTGAGTGCTTGGCACGCCAGCACGTGAACTCGCGGCACTGGGCGTGGGGCGAGCCACGCTTGCCAGCCTAGTGTTTGACATATTTGCTTGATTGTAAGGCATAAGGAGCGGCTGCGATGGCTTGCAAGTGGCGCGTGGGCGGTTTGTCATTCTTGCTTCAAGTGTTGGCCAGCGCGCGGGCGTCTTGTGAGTAGCTCGGCAGTGGCTGTGTTGTCTTCTGGCTGCTTGACGTTCCGCGGGGCTTGGGAGGTCTTGGATCAGTAAACCTGTTGTGGTTCCCGCATGTGAACTGCTCCACAAAGTTACCACAAATACCACACCGAGTCAAACACACGGCGCAAAGAAAATACCTTCAACGCGTGACATTCATAGGCGTCCTTTTAGGGGAAATAGATGGCCCTGGTAGATGATTAAACCACCAGGTAAACCAGGAATCGCCATCATTTTTCTACCAAAACAACCAAAAAGGACACCTATGGTGACACCTTTGTCCTGGAATGGCTGCATGGAGGTGGAGAAGAGGTACGACCAAATCTCTTCGGACTTCCCACAGGATATGCCGCCACCCTGCGGGGACAGTCTGAAAGGCAGGCGCATTTTGCTGGTTCTCAGCAGGGCATGAGTTGGAACGACCCCTGCAAACCACAGCCTGTGGGTTCCTTCACAAGAATCCCTAGGTTCATTCCACCACCCTGGGTCATTCCCTACTGAGCACCAGCAAGGCAAAGAGATGTGCAAACCATTTCAGCACCAGCAAATCAATCCATTCCGAAAACCATGCTGAAATGTCCAAAGGCGCATCCGAGAGACACATGCCAATGACGCTTGTGACAGAGCTCGGAATTGAATGCTCCAGCATGCAAGTCACATGAGTCACTTGCTCAAAACCCGATTTTGAAATGGTCTACCCAGAACCATGTAAAGAAATAAGAAGGCGGCTGCAACTATTTCTGGCTGGGACTGAACTGAACCTTCATCCACCCGGGTTTTGATTGTGGCTCACATGGCGGTCTTAGGCCCTTCGCGGCCTGATCCGCAATGCGGATGGCGATTTGCTTCTGGTCGGCGCAAACCTGTCTCTCCCTCCCTCTATATATGGCGTGTATCACCTCTTGCTTAATTTTGCACTGCACGCCTCTCTACATTTGGCTGTGGCTCAAACAAATGTACCCAACATGGCCCCTAGGTAAACGGAAACAAAAACCAAAACCTGCGTAGCCTTACCCCTTAAGTTTTGAGCCACACCCATTTGAGTCTCTTCCTCGACTTCACAAAGAAAACTCAGGCCAGGACCGTCACAATGATGGGCCTGTCTGGCAACCGCCGTCTCCCGTCCAGCTTGCAGGCCTTGGAACCATCGGGCGCATCAGATCCTCTAAGCCCTCCATGCCCACCCCTGATTGAAGAGCCCTCATAGCAAAGCTTGCAAAAGAAACGAAAGCGTATTGAACAATTGCATTTTGCGCAACCACTTTCCGAGCTCAAACATCGACTTGTTTCGTGCCCCTTGGGGTACTTCAAACTGAAACCGGCGCACCTCCACTGTCGCCCTGGCGCTGTTTTTGATCAGCTCCTGTCGGGTCGGCAGCTCAGAGATTTACTTCCCGCCTTCTGCGCGTACCGCAGGGTCCGGCCAAAAGGAACAGGCCATGCACCAAGTCAAACCACGAGACCTAGTTATCCCACTCGTCATCTGACCTGGGCAAGATTGATGCCCCTTCGCACCAAAACCGCAGCAACAGCTGCAAGACTTCGCAGGCTTGCTCCAAACGTGTTACCGCTCCGGCAGAAACCTGAATGGCAACGAAAGGAGACCGTCCCACCTTTACTCAACCTAGCTTCACCCCATTCCTGGACGATGTAGAAGAGGTACTTTGGGATGTACGAAAACGCGATGGTAGAGTCTTCCGATCCGGAATCCGAGTGGGAGTGCACTTCCACTTGCAGCTTGTCTGCAACTTGCCTCAACAGGTCTGACGCAAAGCTTGCAAACATCCGAGCCCAGTTTGATAACATGAAGCTGCTCTGTGTATATGTGTGAATATAAGATCTTCTGTACCAGTTGAAAGCCGGGGGGCGGACCTTTCAAAACTCCAAGTCTAATAGTTATCTTTCTGTTCCTTTCTCTTTTTCTTTCTCTTTCTCTCTCTCTCTCTCTCCCATTCTCACTTTCATCCTCATTCTCTGTCTATCTGTCCTGTCCTATCTTATCCTATACTATATCTCTAACTTTTCTCCCTGCCTATCTTTCTATTTACACACCGCTGCCAAGTCTATCTACCTATCTACCTGTCTAGCCTCATCAAATCTAACATGTTCTACTTAGCTTAATCAGTCTGTCTACCTATCCTGTCCTACCCTATCCACCTAGTCTGTGTGATTTTGAGTGTACTCCGCCGACCCCTTGTCTGCAAGGGCGAGGCGCATGGGAAGGGTGTCATCATCATCAACATCGTCGTCATCCTCCTCATCATCGTTATTATCGTCATCATCATAATAATCATCACGCTCGGCTCCATTGGCGATTCAAGGGATGCTACGATGATAGTGGTCAAGGCACCGCTGGATGTCGCGATGATAGTTGCGATGACGCATCATCTTCCTCATTCATCATCACCGTTGTCATCATCATCATCGTCATCATCATCCACTGTTGGAGATGCAGGGGATGCTACATGATGCTTGTCATCATCATCGTTGGAGATGCAGCGGATGCTACGATGATACTTTTCATCATCTTCCCATTGTCATCATCATCATCATTATCATCGTCATCATCATCGCCGTTGTCATCATCATCCTCGTCATCATCAACTGTTGGAGATGCAGGGGATGCTCCGATGATACTTATCATCGTCATCGTTGGAGATGCAACGGATGCTACGATGATACTGTTCATCATCTTTCTCCTGATCATCACCGCTATCACCATCATCATCCTCATGCCTGCAAGAGATGCTGGGGATGCGTGGTGATAACTGTCATCGCTCGATTTGAGATGCAAAAGATGCGTATTCATGATCATCATCATCATCATCACCGCTATCATCATCCTCCCAAAAGATGCGTGTTCATGATTATCATCATAACTGCTGGTGATGCTAAGGATGCATAGTCATAAGTATCATCACCCGATTTATCATGATTGCTGGTGATGCTGAGGATGCATAGTGATGATTATCATGCGATTTGAGATTTCTCGTCATCATCACTTGTTTTTGTTATCGTTGGAGATGCAGCGGATGCTACGATGATACTTTTCATCATCTTCCTCATCATCATCATCCTTTCTTTACTTCTTACAAACATATCAAAAGGGACGTTAGACACCACGTGCAATGCAACGGATACTATGATGATAGTTATCCAGGCACTGCTAGACAGTCACTATCATCTTCCTCATAGCCATCCTCGTCATCATCACCGTTGTCATCATCATCATCGTCATCATCATCCACTGTTGGAGATGCAGGAGATGCTGCGATAATACTTGTCATCGTCCTTGTTGGAGATGCAACGGATGCTACGATGATACTTTTCATCATCTTCCTCATGGTCATCATCATCATCATCATCGTCATCATCATCATCGGAATCCTCCACATCATCATCATACATACATTACATACATACATACATACATACATACATACATACATACATACAATACATACATACATACATACATACCATACATTACATTACATTACATTACATTACATACATACATACATACATACATACATACAATTACATACCATTACATACCATTACATACCATTACATACCATTACATACAATTACATACCATTACATACCATTACATTACATTGCATTACATTACATGACATTGCATTACATACATTACATACATACATACATACATACATACATACATACATACATACATACATACATACATACATACATGCATATATGCGGTACATTACATGCATACACACACATACATACAGACACACAACAATACGTACATACATACGTACATACGTACATTACATACCTACATACATACAGACATACATACATAAATGCATTTACATACATACATACATACATGCATTTACATACATAAATGCATTTACATACATACATGCATTTACATACATACATACATACATACATACGTACATACATACATACATTGCATACATACATACATACATTACAATGCATGCATACATACATACATAATTGCATAACATTACATTACATTGCATTGTATTACATTACATTACTTACATACATACATACATACGTACATACATACATACATTAGAGAAATGCATACATTACATACATGCAGTACATACACTGCATACGTACGAACGTACGTGCGTACGTACATACATTACATACATACATACATACATACATACATTACATACATTACATACATATATTCATTACATACATACATACATACATACATACATACATACATACATACATACATACATACATACATACATACATATACATACATACATACATACATTACATACATACATACATGCATACATACATTGCTTTACATTACATTACATACATACATTATATTACATTACATTACATTACCTTACATTACAATACATACATACATTACATTACATTACATTACATTACATTACATTACCTTACCTTACATTACATACATACATACATACATACATACATACATACATTACATACATACATACATACATACACACACACATACATACATACATACATACATACATACATACATACATACATACATTACAATGCATACATACATACATACATACATACATACATACATAACATTACATACATACATACATACATACATACATACATACATACATACATACATACATACATACATACATACATACATACATACATACATACATACATACATACATACATACATACATACATACATACATACACATACATACATACATACATACATACATACATACATACATACATACATACATACATACATACATACATACATTACATTACATTACATTATACATACATACATACATACATACATACATACATACATACATACATACATACATACATACATTACATACATACATACATACATTACATTACATTACATTACATTACATTACATTACATTACATTACATTACATACATACATACATACATACATACCAACATACCATTACATACATACATACATACATACATTACATTACATTACATTACATTACATTACATTACATTACATTACATTACATTACATACATAAATTGCATTACACTACATTACATTACATACATACATTACATTACATTACATTACCTTACATTACATTACATACATACATACATTGCATTACATTACATTGCATTACATACATACATTACATTACACTACATTACCTTACATTACCTTACATTACCTTACATACATACATACATACATACATACATACATACATTACATACATACAAGACCCCGGGGTCTGCGGATTCTCGGGCTGCTGTTGGTAGTGGCTTGTGAGGTCCCCCCGAACACAAAAACCAAGAAGCCAGCAGTGGCCTGAGTATCCGCAGAGTTCGGGGTCTACCTCGCACACCGACATACAGACGGTCCCCCAAAAACACAAAAGCGAGTATCCGCAGACCCCAAGGGCTACCTCACAATCCAACATGCAAGACAGTCCCCCCGAACACAAAAACAAAGAAGCCAGCAGTGGCCCGAGTATCCGCAGAGTTCGGGGTCTACCTCACACACCGACATACAGACGGTCCCCCAAAAACACAAAAGAAACACTACCAAGGGCAGCCCGAGTATCCGCAGACCCCGGGATCTACCTCAAACACCAACATGCAGGAACGTCGAAAAAAAGAGAAAAACAAGATACCAGTATACAGGCAAGTCCCCCAACAAAAAAAAGAACCAATACCAAAAGGCAGCCCGAATGTCCGCAGACCCCGCAGTCTGCCTCAGAGGCCGACATACCGGAAAGTCCAAAACAAGGCAAGGGAACGCTGCCCAAAAAGGAAACAAGAGCCTACCAAAGCCGGCCAAAGCATCCACAGACCCCGGGGTCTACCTCAAAGGCCAACATACAGGACAGTAACCCCGCTGGGGCGGCGGCACTGGGCGGCAGCCCTTAAATAAAACCGAGGTAACTGTGTAGCGCTACTTTTCTTTCTCTACCAATAAAACCATCTCAGTCAATCAATAAACCAATCAATCAATCAATCAATCAATCAATCAATCAATCAATCAATCAATCAATCAATCAATTAATCAATGAACCAATCAATCAACCAATCAATCAAACAATCAATCAATCAAACAATCAATCAATCAAACAATCAACCAACCAACCAATCAACCAATCACCCGTTGATCTACCTCTGTATCTCTATTGTCTTTGCCTATCCATGTGTCTATCCAGCTGTCCGTCTCTCTATCTATCTGTCTATCAGTCAATCTTATCTCTCTCTATCTATTTATCTACCAGCCTATCTGCGTATCCTAGCTCTTATCTTCATATCTTTCCATCCATTTTTGTCTATAAAAATCTGTGTATCTCTTTCTGTGTATCTGTCCGCTCTCCAGGTGTCTATCTATCTATCTACTTGTCTAACTGCCTGTCTAGCAAGCTAGCTATCTAATCTATCTACTTGTACCTATTTACCTACAAATCCATTTCTCTCTCTCTCTCTACCATCTATCTATCAACCCAGCGAAGGTGCTGCGCCTGCCACACAATCTGCACCTGGCCTTGCAAAACTACCTGGCCCTGCGAACGCGCTGCGCTGAAGCGAATCTGTACCTGACCTTGCGAAAGCGCTCCGAGCCCTCTCCGACCAGGCATCGCGATCAGGCTAACTTTCGAGCATCCCAAAGTTTGTCGTTGAATATAGATGGTTTACGGTTGGTTCTGCATTGGTTTAGGGCTCATCTAGGGTGGGTTTCAGGCTGGTGAGGGGTTTGGGAATGATTTAGCGCTTTCGCCATTTAAGGCTGGTTTGTTGGCTTTGGCTGTTGTTTAGGGTGAACTTAGAATAGGTTCAGGGGAGGGTGGTTTAAAGGTGGGTTCGGGGTTGGTTTTAGGGTTGGTTTCGGGTTGGGTTGGGAGAATGGTTTAGGGTGGGTTGATGGTGAGTTTAGAGTTGGATGAGGTTGATTTTGTGTTGGTTGAGGTTTGCTTTTGGTTGTCTTGAGGTTGGCTTCCGTTGGTTTCACTACTGGGTTTGGCGTTGGCTTAGGCTTGGTTTGTGGTTTGAGCGCAAGCTTGGATCGGGTCAGCTTGAAGTTGCTTGAGTTTGGTTCAGGGCTTCCGGTGGAAGGTTGGCTTAAGTGGAGAGTGGGCTGTGCTTCTGATACTGCGGATGCGGATGCGTTTCTTCCGTCCTTCGTTCCTGCATTTCATAAGTTGTTTGATGCCTAAGTGGTTCTGCTGGCCAATTCGTTGTGGTTGACTAACCAGTTTTGTGTGATGCATATCCCGGAGGAGGATAAGCCCTTTGAATGGTCAGCCTTTGCCATCTGAGCGACTGAGCGCTTGACTCAGTGGCATTGGCGTACATTGATTGGACCGCTTTCGCTGCCTGCTCATCGACCCGACCGTCGTAGCGTGCTCAAAACATATGAAATGGGCTCTAGGATGCTACACGCACATGATTGTACTTTGGTGCAGTGGGGGTTGCCGCTGAAACTGAGACGAGCCACGATTACTTGGGGAACAAAGTGAGCAAATATGAAACAAGCCAACAGGGATTTGCAAAGTCCCTGCCTGCTCACAAATCCTGCCAGGATTGCACTTGGTGTCAACGATGCCAATGTGATCGGAGCCTTTGCCAAAACAATTGGCAAGTTTTCCGTCTGCGCTTCTCTTAAGTCGGGTGTCAATCATATTCAATCATGCGATGGCAGTGGGACACAAAACTCATGTAACCCTGTTCCGGTCCCCAAACCGGGCACCCAACCATTTTTTTTTGAGGGAAACTAAACGGCCCCATGCTTATGGCTCTGTCATATGGACAGCAAGTCGTTAAACAAGCGGGTGGACCTACGGGTTTGCAAACGACACTATAACACGGAAAACCAACAACAACCACATGTAGCACACCAGACATAAACCCTAAACTCCCTTCCTGCCTGGATTGGCCAAAACATCAAACAACCAGACACAGCTCATAAGCCAAAGCCGCCCACGACTTTTCCGCAGCTCGGGGGCCCAGGCCCAAGAGCTCGCTCGCCTGGCGCCGGGCTGAGCGACGCGGCGGGGTCTGGCGAGCGCTTTGGAGCTGGACACCGAGAGCGGGCGGTTTTTTGTCGCAAGGGTCTACAGATGTTGTCCTCAGGCTTGGTTCTGTGAGCCTCTTTTTTATTGTTTTCTTTTTTTATGATTAGCATTATTATTGTTGTTATTAGTCGGGGGGATCCCCATGCCTTCTTCAGCATCATCCGTCATGGGCTGCTTGGAATGAGGCGCCTCTCAAACAGCAACATATTCTAGGGGCGATGGACTGCTGTTGAAACAGAAACAGCTTCGATAGAGATTCCTTTTTGACCCGATGCTGCGAGCGAGGCGGGAGCGAAGGCAAGCAGCAGCTATTTGTGGGCAGTGACCGGGGTGAATCGCCCTGCCTGTCTGGAAAGAACGCACAACATTTTCCACACAAATCCACTAACACCTGTATATTTTGTTGGGCCGTTTGCTTTAGTGACTGCACCAAAAGAGCTGGTGAAATAGCCCTTGCAGCCGTTACGAGACTGCAATGTACACAACAGTGAGTTGCTATCAACTCACCACAAATGTGCTCTACGGCAAGATCCTTCGTCTGCTTCTTCAAGCTTTCCAAACATACACAGAAGCACACATAGACACACACACACACACAACAGCTGCTCAAACTCAAACATTCCGCTTGGAAAAACATTTGCCTTCCTGGCTTCCGACTGAACAGTCAGCTCCTCCGAAGCCCAGTGGAAGCTCCCCAAGCCTCGGAAGCAGAATCGTGCCAATCCACCACAGCCATGTAGTGGGACGTCAGCCTGGCGCAAGACGCCAAGACGCCACGCGAGTTGCACGGGGTCACAGAGGCACTGGATTTTGGATTTCTGTATGAGAGCTTTGATGACATCTGGCACACACGATCTTGCAAATGGCGCTCCAAAGCGCCATGGGAGTTTCCGGAAACCAACCGAATGCGTCTTTGCCAATAAGCGAGCCAGGCCGGCATCTCAGTTGAAATCCGGGACACCAAGAAGGTGTCTGCCCAGGACCTGGCGCGAAGCAAGGACTTCAGGGCCTTCAGGGGATGGGCAGAAACTGCCCACCTGGGTATGGTGTGAATGGGTGTGTGTCAAATAGGAGGGCCCTCAAAATTGGTGGTAGTCCCTTTGGCTGCTTCAAAAAACACGGTTCCTATGGCCGGGGTGTCCCACTTTAGAAACTGCAATTTGAGTCACACTCAAAACGCTGATTAAACAAAAAATGTCTAAGAAGGCTGCCGCACCCTTACTATCCTTGCTAACCCGTACTAACCCTTACTAACCCTCAAAAACCCTTACTAAAAACCCTTGCCAACCCTTACTAACCCCTACGCACCGTACTCATGTTCTTGGTGTCCCTTTCGCTTTGGGTTTGATTCAACTCACGGGAGCCGCAAGAACTCCCTCGATGCGGCATCGGCAAAAAGGCGGAGCCGCTGGAAGGCATCGCCCTCCATCCAGGCGTCCTTGTGGTTCATCTTCCGGATGGCCTCGTGTGGATCAGATCGGATCTGCCAGCTTTTTGTGTCTCTTCTGTTGTCTTCCAAAAAAAAATATGTGTCTTTTTTTCCCGCTATTCGTGTGTTCTTTCTTCTTCTTTCTTTTTTTTTTGGGGGGGGGGAGAGGGGGGCATGCCCCTGAGGGGTCGATTCATGTATTCATGTCCAGACCCGCCCCAAAAAAACCGGCGTCATTTGTGTGGGATGCCCTGGAAAATATCATGTGCTCCTGCAAACTGGCGGTCTCCTTTTGGCCTGGGTATCTTTTCGAGCTCCTTCTTGGGCGGCTGCAAAGGGAAACAACACAGGTTGGTTGCAAGTTGGACCAAGTAGAGAAACAAGTCCAAATCTGAAACAAGGAAGCACACTCAACGGCACCTGCACACAATAAACAAGTGGCGAGCTTGCTTCTAGGTGTGTCACAATAGATAGCTATATCAACACACCATAGAAAAGTATCAGTAAAGCAATACATTAATAAGTTTTCTGCACACATGTGCATGCTATCCCGAAAGTTCTGATAGTGTTTGCAAGGCAAAGAAGGAGTCCATGTTAAGAGACTCCATTCTTTCCCTCATGTCCCCTACCAGCACTATGCTTTCCTCCCAACACCCTTGGCACAGTTAACATGTTTGGCGGCAATGGCGTCGCTGAGACATATACTTGTCGGTTTGTTAAACCGTTGCTTTCCAATCAAGAGCATTACTTGCATTCTTTTCAGGGATTCATTTTGTGAAACGCAGGATTGGACTTTGTCCAGCCACAGAACTAGACGATGCGGAGGTTTGTTAAACAATAGACCCAAGCAGTTTCACCCAAAAGAACCTTGAGCCCCAATGGTTTAAACAATACTCCCCTTGTTTGAATCAGCGTTTCAGCAATAGGCCCATGTTTCAGCAACAGACCCAAGTGCTGAATTCGCGGAAAGTCTCGATCCGCGCCTCTGCGAGGAGCGCCACCACGGGCATATGGCGCTTGCGAACGGATCGGATCACCTCCGAGAGGGGCCCTGAGACATGGCCATGACCAACCGATGAAAAAAACGAATCCAACCGATGTGGCTTCCTTTAAGAGAAATCCCTTCAAGGGTTCATTCCCAACACCCGGACTCGTTGTCACTCCCTACATTATCGCACCAGCAAGAATGGGATTTGGTCTTCCGAACATGGCAAGGCTTTCCTCTTGGTTTTCCATGGCTTCCCTACCGAAGGGGTCCACTCCCATAAGGGCTTGCTTCAAAACAAAGGAAAGCTTGGAATTGTCGCAAGCAAAGGGAACATTCACGCCAACAAAAGAACAGGATACGGGGGGGGCTCAACCACGGACCGCATAGCCAGTTTCTTGTGGTGTTCCCTTCAATTGGCTTCCAGCCAGCTGAAGGGCCCGGGTCAACCCAACCTTTGAGTTGGTGAAGCCCCAACTGCCAACTCCGATCGGGTGGGTTGTCTAGAAAGTTACCTCGCAAATGGCAAACAGACAGTGGCTGTTGCACGGCATGCGTTCAAGGAGAGCCAAAGACTGGTCAACTTGTGAAGAATAGACTCCATGGTTGCCAGTGCATTAGTGTTCGAGAGGTTCCCATGCTTTCCATTGACATCCAATGAAGCAGTCAACTTGTTTCAACATGAGATGGGGCTTGATCAATTCGCACCAAATGCTCGGGTTCAGAGCTCGCATTCCATGTACAAACTAAGCACCTAAGCACTGGGTCGGAAGGAATCAGCTACACTTGGAGTCTTGGAGTCGGACCCCCTCATCTACGCTAAATGGATCCGACCTCTGGAACATGGGTGTGCCACAGTTCGCGCCACCTCAGGGCCTGTGGTTGATTACCTAAGGCCGGGGTGCTCGCCATCTCAGCTTTATCCTTTTTGGGCCACATGCCACTCCCTCCCAACTTGAGCTTGTTCCTGGGAGGTTGACTAGGTCCTCCAGTAGAGAGGTTAGAATAAGGGTACCCGATTTTTTTTCTTCTGTAGTCTATTTTAGTAGGGGAACCCTCCCCCCAAAAAGGGTAAAAGGGCACTGCTGGGGGACCTAGTTGATCATTCTTTGTAGGTTTACAACGGAAAATGCCAAGTTTGTTTCCAGATGGTCTATGGGTGTTTTGGGGTCCGAGCCATGTTTCTTGGCTGCCCAGAGCACCCGGGGAGTTGCTCCTGTCGACTCCTTGGAGGCAAAACACCCGTCGCCTCGGTGTACTCCGTCAAGTCGGACACCGTCAAGGAACACTCCTGGAGAAACTTGGCCGAACCCCACGCCACCAACAAAACGCCAATAAAACGCCACAAAAACCCACCAGCCTGAGGCAACCTTTTGGCAACAGGTGATGAAAACCGGCCTAAGCCAGCGGAACCCATCAACTTCGATGAAAAACCAACTCACCCATCAAAAAACAAAACACCTATCATAGGTGTCCACTTTGATGGGTTAGTTGGCAGCTCAACCCACCTCCGCCAAGGGGTCGGCGCCTCTGTCCCAGGAGGTTCCGTGAGGCGCAGCTCGCTGAAGGAGTCCAGGAAGATCTTGTGGAGCTGCCTGGCGCGCGTTGGTACCGATCCGCCGGGATCCAATTGGGGTGACTGAGGTCTGATTCGCTGGCTCTCCGACTTTTGGGTGGGAACACTGGGTGATCTCATGCCAACTTGCTGGTAGCTGCGGGCATTAAGCATCCAGCGAATTCTGGTGGCCCCCATTTTGTGTAAGGACTTTCCGAATAGTTGGAAGAACCCAGCCTAGAAAGGGAAACGACCATTGGAAGGCTTTGGCTTGGTTTTTGACCCAGAAATCCAGGGCTCAATGGCAGGGACGCGACATCCGAGTTTCCGACCCCTTTCGGTGCAAAAGGAAACTAACCTGTTTGGAGGTAGTTTTGAGAGGCCCAAGTCCCACCAAATGGTGCTTAGACCGGACCCGAAACTTCTGAAAGCACGACTGGGCGGGGGCACTGGGGGCACTCCGCACGCTCCAAATTCCAAGAAAGCTCTGGGCGTGCCTGAGTTCCTCCTGCTTCTCCCAGCCTTCCACTGCCTGACGTAGACATGCGGGCTGGTCGTTCGTAGGGTACCAGCACCCCTTTGGGGTTGCTTCAAAGGGACACCCTAGGACACCGTATCGGACATATTTGAGACACATACCCCAGGTCGCCGAGGAAAAATGGTTCTTGATTTGGGGTTCGCCCTGAGCTTCCTCGCGTTGCCTGAGGGGTTCTTTTACTTGACAAACACCGTGACACGTAGCGATCTCCAGACCAGCGTCATATGAGTGGTCGAAAAAAAGAACTGCAGACTGGAAGTCTCAAGAACTTTATCAACAGGCTGATCATCCTGCTTCGCCTCAGCTCTGGCGGAACTTTGGGATGCTTCCATTGCTTGCTATTGTGAGCAGCAAATTAATACAGGCCGCAACCAAAACAAGCGAAACATGGTACTCACGGGGTAACACCCGAACCCAAGGGTGATCAACTTTTGTTCTTCGTCGCATATCCAAAAGCATCGCAAAAAGGATCCATTCCCAACTTCTTAGTGGTACCCGGATGACTTCATGATGAAACCAATGTTCAGCTCAGCTAGACAGGCAACTACATCTGTGGTCAAAGGCATTCCCATCCATGTGCACTGCACGCTATGAAGGAAATGATGCTAGCGAACGCCATCTTGTGACTAACCCTGTGGGTATGTGTCTAAACTCGGCAGCCTGTTTTGGATTGGGGATTTGAAGTTCTGGTTCTTGAGACCAAACTAAAAACCGGACCTCACCTCTCCGACCCGTCCTCGATGTGCCGGATCCGAGCCGCAAAGCGAAAAGGGATCTCCTGCCCCGGAGGATGCGGCAACGGTGGTTTTTGTTTCTTCTGCGCGGCTTCGGGAATGACTCTCTGTGCGCGAACTTACTGGCGATCCAAATCCAGTTGGCCGAGTTGAGCAGGTTAGCCAGTTTTTTTGCTACGCCAATCAGATGAACTTGGCTCGTGCTAGTGAAACAGCGAGTTGGATACTGAGCTAGTTGCTGGTGAGGTAGTTTGCCTCCGACGATTCGAGCAAATTGAAATGTCACAAACCAAAGCATACTATTTGCTGAGGAGGCTTGACTCCGAGAGTACGTGAAGTGTTGCATGGGTCAATCTGGAAATGTGCAAACCACCACAAGATCGCTTTGGTTGACCCCAAAATTCCCGTTTGTGGCTTGATGCCTGCAACAGTGCACAGGCCTCGCCACCAACACGATTCGCATGACTTCCGAATAGAACATCCGCCACAGGGCCATGCATTTCTGTTTGTTCCTATGACCCAATTGTTGTCTATGGATCGTTGTTCTGATAGTCTTGTGATGCTTTTCTCAAAGTCGCAACTCAACTAGTGTGCACGGAACTTCTTGTTGACCTCAGACTACCAACATGCCAAATGCCCCGCGTTCGCCGTGGTTTTCGATTGCCCAAAGCAGGCACGGCTGATTTTAGGGTGCCCACGGAGTCCCACGGAAAGAGAAACCAACCCATCCAGCGAATTGATGCAGGTGATTCATAAGCTCGCCTATCGAAATTCCCTCATCCAATTAGATAGCCAAGCTATCTGGAACGGCATGTCTTTCTTTCTTTCTTTGCATCAGTCAGTCTGTTGCTTACGCCTCCAGATTGGTACGCATGGCTTGTGCCAGAAGCCCACCACGCCCCGGAAGTCTGTTTCTGGTTGATCCATCCCTTCCGGGACGATTTTTGGCGATTTCAGGCTAGGCCTTGTGCACCAGCCTGGCCACCTTGCCCGGGGTGGAGGCATCCACAATCTGCTCGAGGCTCAAGGCCTGCGCAAAAATCTCTCCAGCGAGGGATGTCAAGGGCGCAGGCGCATCAAAAAGGCGGCTCCAACAAAAATTTAGCCCTAGCTGAGCTTTTTTTTGAGCCACCCAGATGCAAACACCTGAGGAGTGGACCAACCGTCTTCTGGGCCCAATCAAAAACGGAAATGAAGGCCAGCAAACAGGCTTGGGCTTGGAAAACAGCGCCCCTCGAGATTGACGTATCTGTCCACTGCTTTTCAGATGTGGGCAGCCCCATTCGTATATGTTGTCAAATGGGCTTTAGTCGCACACCATAAAACCCAAGGTTTATCGTTGCTTCAGTCATCGCCCCCTCTTGACTATGACGCGAGGAGTGGATCAAAAGTCCGTAGACTGTACTTGCACAGGATCTTTTTGCAGACAGCCAGGGGTAAGACAAGTCTGATCACGCAGTAAAACATAGTAACCATCTGCCCCATTTTCGGCATCCAAATATTGAAATGCACCGTTCTACCCTCCGGGTCGCTTGTTGCGACTCCGTCCAGGCCTGGGTGTGCTGCGCCGCGAAGTAGCTCAGCTCAGCCCGGATGAACTCCTGCAGCCGGGCCTGCGACACCGTCACCTGCCGCGGACGAAGGACGGTGGCTGTTGTCAAAAGTCGGGCAACCTTGCTGGCCTCCATCTCCATGGCTGGCTCAAATGACCTCCTTTGCAAAAATAGACCCCAAATTGTGTGGCTGCGGTTGTAAAAAATCGGGTGACCCCAAAGTGGCTTGCCCTGGTACTATGTGGGTTTGTCTCAAGATGAGGGGACCTTTGTCTCAACAGGGGGGGGGATCAACAATCGGGTAACCCCAAAATGGCATGGAACACTGGTACATGGAAACATGGACTCAAAAAAATGCAGCCTGGTGGTTTAAAATTTGTAGGATTTGTGTCCACCAATTACTTTTCAGGGGTTCCCCATTAAAATTCATGGCCGTATTTCGGTTTATCTCAAAATGAGGGCACCCCACAAAAATGGCTGGTTTCCTATTGTTCCGTTAAAACCGACCAAAAGGGGTGGCCCCCCCAAAAAAGACACACCCATTTGAAGATCAGAGAGATAATCCTTGAGTTTCACTTTCTTTTGGTCATGCCGAAATTATACGTACCTATGGCTCTCACTCTTAGTGGCGGATTCCCTTTTTGCTTGCAAACCGAAGATGAGTGCCTGGTTTCGACAACCCTGCGAATCAAAGTGGAACCCCGAATACCATCATGTTGAGAGAAATCTCACTTCCAGCGCCCCGCCAAAAAAGTGTTCACCTTAGGGGCTAGACATGGACCACAAAGGGTAAAAGGTCAGATCCGGTCGATTCACTTGCAAGCGAGATGAAAGACTCCCTTATGGTTTCCCTTTAACGAAAAACGGGATGTGGTTGCACACATGTGTTTTGCTAAAATAGATGGCCATGGATGGACTACACCCATCCAAACCAGTGGAACCCATCGATTTCGAAGCAAACTAACCCGTCAAAATGACACCTATACTTTTCGGACGAGCGGT